TGGTGGTGGTGATGGTGATAGTGGTGGTAGTGGTGGTGGACTGTTGATGTTCCATGAGTGGCCCACAGTGGGAACCTTGAGAGTAGCCTATCCCTAGGTCAAATTCTACCATCAAGGAGCACAAACACATAGAAAGGCTAATGGTTTCATTTACGTGACCTTTTGCTCTCCGCCTTTTAAATAAAATAGCATGGGTGCATATTTGACTCAGGACGCTGGCCAGGCCTGAATTAACTGTTATCTCTGGAGTAATCAAGGGTTGGCTGGGCTGCAATTCTGCAGGAAGACCCCAGCTTTGCGTTAACCAGGCATGTCTTAGGTAGTGGCTGACTCCAACAGATCTACTCCAATCAACAAGAGCATGGAGGGGGTGTGCATCCTTGGAGCTGCCCTGTGATGAGAACCTCCCAGACCAGGGCAAAGAAGTTGTAATAGGTTCAGTGGAGAGCTGGAACATTCTTAGCAGCCAAGGGAAGAAGCAGTCCACAGAACAGAGAGGCAGGGGTGAGAGACCCAGAGGCAGTAAGTAGCCGAGAAGCCAGTCCAATGACCGTGGCAAAAGGTCCAGAGGTAACTGCAAGAAACCTTGTGCAGAAATCCGTCTGTTGCAGGGATCTATCTGCTCCCTGAGCCGTGGGCATCCTGTGCAGAGGTTGCCCACAGAGCAGCTCTGTTTTGAGAGCTGTTGTGTTGCTAGCCTACAGTTGGGTTTGGCCCAAGGCTGTTCGGAGGATGCTCATTGGACCAGGTAGCAATAGGAGCAGAGTTGGTCAAGAGGAGGTGCAGGGAAAGGGGTGGGGAGAGAGAGAAATAGCAGCAGCCTCCACACATTTACTGCTACTTGAAGTAGCGATGACAACCTGGCACCTGAACTGTGGCCATAGCATGAGCACCCAGTGATGGAGGAGTGGACACCTGCTTTGGGGAAGAACAAGTGGGTCCTCTTTGAAGGGTCAGCAAGTCCGACTCGTCTGGTAGAGAGTACAGTGTGTGAAGGAGTCTCATCCTGCCTATGCAGCATTTCAAGATGGACAGATTCTATTGTTCGCTGTGTTTTCTGTAATAAACTGGCTTTCACTTTGCCAATACGATGGTAAGCATCTCATGTGTGCAGTTCAACTGGACTAGATGGATGGGTTAATGCTCTGATTGGGGTCCCTCAATCTAGGAGCCTTGCCACTGTTTGGATCGTAGGACTGCCGCTGAGGAAATCTGTGCAGGCAATATGCTTTTATGGGGTTTGATCTGCTGGCAGGGCAGACTCTCTGTGTGTGCATGTGTGTGTGTGGTGTTTGGGAGGGAGTGGCACTACTGGGGGAGTGGTAGAATGAACAATATCTGACTACCTTTTCTACACATCTCATGGTCTTGCTTTTTCTAATATCTTTTTTTTCCTCTAGATAACAGATTGAACAAGTTTATTTCAGAGTACCTGAAAAAAATTGTGAAGATACAGCACTTGAAGAGAAGGTTTCACTAGACCTCTGGGTACATGCCTTGCACAATTCTCGAGACCCGGGCAGGCTTTCTGGGTGGGAAGATATAGACTCCCTAAAGCTTCTTCAAGAAAGAGGGGCTGATTTGAGGCTGGAGATCAGGATGCCTGCAAACGGGGCAGCTCTGGGACACTCACGGTCAAGTTCCATCCCAGACCATCTTGGCACATCTACTCTGTATTTCCCCCTCTGTGTTTCCCAAATACCATAAACCTACTTCCTCCCTGTCTGATAACTTCAGTTGTTCATTGGCCATCATGGCTGCCCCACCCGGTTTCCCAGCTTGCTAACTGTCCAGCTTCTGTCTCTGCTCCTGACACGCTAACTCTCTTCCTATCCTCCAGTCCAAATTCCCAAGAGAAGGAAGTTGATTAGACAACCAGTCTTTTCATTCCATCCCAAGGTCCCGGTCCCGGTCGGTGTGCTTATCAACTTCCTTTGGATAGGGCGCATTCTTTGACCTGAATCACTGTGAAGAGGGTGAGGGGCACTATGCACCTGGGAGGTAAGGACCGGTAGTTGTCCCCTTCTTTCTTGTTCCTGGTAAAGGAGTCTCCTGGGAGATGCCCTTTAGAAAGGCTAGGTTTCCGAGCCTTCTTGACAAACCCATTCTCTGTGAAAGAAAGGCCCGTGGCTGCGATCTAACTCAGAAGGGAAGGAGGACACAGCTCAGGGCCGACCTGACTCACTCCTCCACAGCTTTGGAAGGTAGTGAGAGACATTTAGCCAATCAACGTATACCTCTTATAGCTCAGAGAGGCTACATCCAAACCACCCCGTTGTTAGACATGTACCCGAGTCGATCCTCCTGGACCCTGGCTAAATAGTTACCTGAGTTTATCCCCCTCCCCTAAATCCCGTGTTGTTGTTTTAAAGAGCAATGCTCCACCCCCCACCACATGAACAATATTCTTGCAGGCCCCGTTCCCAAGTAACTATTGGAGAGAGAACGGAGTTTGGGTAGAGGTTGGGGAGAAGAAATTAGGAAGAAGGATGGTGGGTTAATAAAGTCAGTTGCATTCCTTCAAACAGAACATTTTGAGATCCTAGTGATAGATAACATTACTGTGGCTTTACTAGGTTGCAGGCACTGTGCTACAAAGATGATCGACTTTAGCTTCAGACCAATCTCAGAAAGTCAGGACCGTTATTTCTAAGAGGCAAAGAAACTATGAACTCGTTACGTGTCTGCAGGGGATACGCTGTGTGCCTGAGAACCTCGTGGAAACCACTGAGAAGGTACTTCACAAATGGAAAGTCTTAAATAAGATTCCTTAACATTCAAATCACGTACCACATAAAATAAAGCAGCTGCAGGGCACTTTGCTGAGGTGTTTGGGTTTGTGCTTGGCTTTAGGGACACAGGAGACAGACACTGTGATAAGCTGAGGAGATGCCAGAGTGAGGGAATGGGTGGGTCTTTAGAGACAGGTTTTTAGTCCCTTGATCCTCATTCAGCCAGCCAGCCCTTGACTCCTGGGGGAAGTTCAATACTTGATTCTACAGGGAACCCCCAAACTTCACAGAGCCAACGATTTCCCCGAAGGATTTTTTCCTATGAGACTCATCATGGAAGGACATACGTTTTCCTCATCTTCCCAGTGAAAGCGGATCTAAATCATGGGCAGATGATGGTTTATCATTGGGAATGGCAGGCTTCAATTTGGGAGGTTTTTCTGTTGTATCCGCCAGGTGGCATCAAATCTCAACAGAATCAATACAACTAGTCCAAGGGATCTGCAGACCGAGAAAAAACCAGAAGAAATTAGCTCTTGTTTGTATGCGGAAAAGGCTGAGAGTGGCCTAAATACATGCAGTGACACGAGAACAGGTTCAAGGGCATGGAACAAGAGCGTGCACACACATAATGCAGGGCTGGGGCTCAGCAAGAAGGTGGAAGGGAGAAGTTCGTCAGCAGGGTGCAAAACAGGGTGGACTGAGTGGTCTGACATCTGGATGCGGACAGAGGCAATTCCCTGAGCAAGCACGGACTGGGCCTTTCTCTGTAGTGGCACTAGGTACCTAAAAGTGACAGACACCCCTGAACCACAGGTAAGTACAAAGCCCAAGGGGCAGAGCTTTGGGGAAACTGATCTCAGAGTGGCTGTGAGGAAGGGTTGTCGAGTCTAGGAATCGCTACGTGCCGTGGCTCCCAAGCCAGCCAGCAAATTCTAGCTGCCCCACCATGCCCCAGCCCCTATATCAGTCTGTCTCACTAGTCAGTCAAGGGATAGCTACTTGCTAATGGACATACCGATGTAATTCTTTTGGGGAGTGGCTGCCCTCGCCAAAGTTAGCAATTCTGAGGGAGCGGAGGGGAAAGGGTCCCCACCCCAAACCTGTCCCACCTTCGGCTCTGTGCTTCACTCTGTAAGCCACTCTGGGGCACACTTGTCAGGTCTGGCTCCCACCCCTACCACAGAAGCAGTCGCCTTGCTCAAGCCCACCCTGATTCTAGCACTAATCTTGCACCAAGAAGCTTCAAGCATCGCCGTCCTATTCATAACAATTTATTTACAAAAAGAAAATGTGTAATTATAACGTTAAAATGTATTCATCACCCACATTTCAATGATTTTGTCTTGGAACTTTAATTCCCCAAGTGGCTGGCATGTAAGGAGACAGGGAGGGCACGGTATCCGTACAGAAAGCGGGCGGGTGGGAGAAACTGACCGCTGTGGTCTTTACTGGAGAATCAGGTACGAGTTGAGAGCTTTTCCTTGCAGATTCTTCATCTCCTCGAGCACTTTCTCTCCTGTCTTCTCCGGGAGCTGTGCTGGGTCTCTCAGCTCTCTAAATCCAAGGACCGACAAGGAAAATGAGGGCAAATTCACAGAACGCTCAGTCCCTCATGATGCCCCCCTGCTGGGCTCAGCGCTGCCTGGAATGTTCAGTGAAGTTTGGTGGAGTTGTTTATAAAATAGGAGTCCTAATTACTGAAAAAAGGCAGCTTGCAAGTGAGGCAAACCTGGCTTCCCATCTCAGCTCCACCAGTTTCTTAGCACAACCATGCCATCTAAACGTTCAGAGTCTCTGTTGACTAATAAATCAGGGAGCAAGAACCAAACAAACCAGTAGCAGTTCATTCTGACTCCCGGTGATGCCCTGTGTGTAAGACGGTGACTTTGAGCAGGGCTTTAATGGCTGTTGTTCTCCAAAGTCGTTCAATAGGCGATCTTTGGAGGTGTCTTTGAGTGGACCCAGGTTGCCACTCTTGTGGTTAGTAGCCGACGGCTGAATTGTTTGGGCCCCCCAGGCACTTTACAGATGTATACATTTTGGTGATGTTTTTATTTCCCAGAATTTTAGGAAGGTCGAATGACAACAGATTGGCAGCGATTCAGGAGTCCGTTGTTTTCGTTAGGCACTGTTGGGTTGATGCTGACTCCAAGTGATCCGTGCCCACGATGAAACCTGCCCATGCCCTTTCCGTCCTCACAGCTGTTGCTGTTTGAGCCCGTGGTTGCCGTCTCTGTGTCGGTCCCCATCACAGAGGGCCTTCACCTCTTTCTACGCCTTTCCACTTGACCAAGCACAATGTCCCTTCCAGGCATAGTTCTCCTAATGACATGCCCTAAGTACGTGATCTTGCCATTCTTCATTCTTAGGAGCATTGTCTCTGTGCTCTCTTAGAAACAGTTTCATTGGCATATATTTGCATATCATACAAATAATTCAATCACATTAAAAAGCATTGTAAAATCATCACCACAATCAATTTTAGAACATTTTCTTCTTTCTTATACTCATTATTATTAACTCCCCATTTCCTCCCAATCTCTTCTTCCAAGAAGTCATTAATCAATCCAGTTACTATCTTTATAGAGTTACCAAACCTAGATAGGTAAGACATTCAGAACAAAAACAAAGGAAAACAAACAAAAATTTCAATAGAAAAGAAAGCAGAAAATATGCAAAACTACAGGAAATTTAAAATGGGTCAAATGGAGATCAAATGATAACATGCCACATTAAAAAAATCATTTTATTCGGGGCTCTTACAGCTTTTATCACAATCCATCCATACATCCATTGCATCGAGCACATTTGTACATAGGCTATCATAATCATTTTCAAAACATTTTCTTTTTCTGATGTTTTCTTTCTTTTTTATTTAATCATTTTATTGGGGGCTTGCACAACTCTTATCACAATCCATACATATATCCATTGTGTCAAGCACATTTGTATATTTGTTGCCATCATTATTCTCAAAACATTTGCTTTCTACTGGAGCCCTTGGTATCAGCTCCTCATTTTCCCCCTCCCTCCCTGCTCCCCACTCCCTCATGAACCTTGATGATTTTTGAATTATTATTATTCTGTCATATCTTACATTATCTGATGTCTCCCTTCACCCACTTTTCTGTTGTCTGTCTTCCAGGGAGGAAGTTATACGTAGATTCTTGTAATCAGTTCCCCCTTTCCACCTCACCCTCCTGCTACCCTCCCAGTATCACCACTCTCACCACTGGTCCTGTAGGGCTCATCCGCCCTGGATTCCCTGTGTTTCCAGTTCCTATCTGTACCAGTGTACATCCTCTGGTCTAGCCAGATTTGTAAGGTAGAATTGGAATCATGATAGTTGGGGCTGTGGGGCCGAGGGGGACGGAAACATTTAGGAACTAGAGGAAAGTTGTATGTTTCATTGTTGCTACACTGCACCCTGACTGGCTTGTCTTCATCCCTGCGACCCTTCTGTAATGGGATGTCCAGTTGCCTAAAGATGGGTCTTGGGTCCACAATCTGCACTCCCCCTCATTCACAATGATTTGATTTTTTGTTCTTTGATGCCTGATCCCTGATCCCTTAGATCTCGTGATCACACAGGCTGATGTGCTTCTTCCATGTGGGCTTTGTTGCTTCTGAGGTAGACGGCTGCTTGTTTACCTTCAAGCCCTTAAGACCCCAGATGCGATATCTTTTGATAGCCTGGCACCATCAGCTTTCTTCACCATATTTGCTTATGCACTCATTTGTCTTCAGCGATCGTATTGGGAAGGTGAGCACACAATGATATGATTTTTTGTTCTTCGATGCCTGATAACTGATTTCTTCG